GATTCGTATTTTTCATGGGAGATACTGCTTTCACATGGATGTCAAAGAAACAACCGATTGTCACATTGTCCACTTGTGAAGCGGAATATGTTGCTGCTACCTCATGCGTTTGTCATGCAATTTGGCTTAGAAATCTATTGAAGGAGATAGGTTTGATACAAGAAGAGCCTACAAAGGTTTGTGTCGACAACAAGTCAGCCATTGCCTTAGCGAAGAATCCAATATTCCATGATCGAAGCAAGCACATTGATATTCGCTACCACTATATAAGGGAGTGTGTTGCAAGAAAAGATGTGGAAGTTGAATACGTGAAGTCACAAGATCAAGTTGTTGATATTTTTACCAAGCCACTGACCAACGAAGACTTCTTAAGATTAAGGAACCTACTAGGGGTCACGAGATCAAGTTTAAGGGGGGGTGTTGGATCATAAACTTGATCTATTATGAGAGCCTAAACCCAAACCCAAACTAAATTGATGTCATTGCTTACATCATTTAAGTAATGATGTCATTGCTTACATCAATTTAGTTAGGTGAGAGTTATATATTTGTTGAATTTGTAATGGTTTAAATTAGTTTATTTGTGTGGTGTAGGATTGTTCTTGAGTAGTATAAATAGCCCTCCCCATTTTAGTTTTAAGCATCAAGAAAAATTAAGAGCTTCTAAGTGAGTGAAGAAGCAAAGTCTTATAAGAGTGAGTTGTAGTTCTTGTTTTTGAGTGAGAGTTCTCTTGTAATATTTCTTTGAATTTCAATAAAAGTTGTTTGTGTGAGTGTTTTATTTCCAACATCTTCTCTCCAAGCTAAACGAAATAAGAACAGGACGCTTAGCAATATCCGATGCTTTCCATCCCATTGTGTGGACGAAAAAGCTCATTACCGCAGTGATCTTCTGCTCAGAATACATCATGAATCTCGGGTACTTCTCCAAAGCTGAAAAAACAACTTCATTAGACCAACCCCATTGCTTAAGAACATTGGTTTTTTTCTCCTATGATGATTTGCTGATCTGAAAGAAAGCTCGAAGAGCTGTAAGAAAGCTACGTTTCAAAGGATCAAATCCCAATTTCTTTACTTCTTCGGCTGTTCTAAACTTATCAGGATTCATTACAAAGGCTCTTGGGAGGAGAACAAGTTCAACCATGTTGAATTTACACTAACGGATGAACAAAGAACATGAATCACTTTTCATTGAACAAAATACAGTACTGAACTCATACAAGAAAGCTACTTTTATAACCCTATAATAGAACGGTTAGCAAGAGCTAACAACTTCCCAACTGCTATCAGAGTCAAGTATTCACTCATCATTTTTTATAGAGTTGTCTTTAGTCGCAATTACGAGTTCTCTGTCATCGTACTTCTTTGCTACATCGACTTCACCAGATTTTTTAGAGTTTTGCTCTTCAACTTCTCTTTTGATTTTATTTTACAACTTGTAACACTCTATTTTAACATGAACTTTCTTTTTACAAAAGTGACAAGTTTTTCCTCAATTATTAGATATGGATATACACTTTCCTATACTATTAGAAGAACGCTCGTCTTTTTTTCCATGGTCTAAGCTAGTCAATCCATGCTCCATGAGACCTTTTGCTTGGGGCTCGAAACCAGATACAAGATGCTTCATCTTGTCAAATGAGTGCCGACCATTGTACACTTCTTCAAGAATGAGTGTTTTGTGACTATACAAAATTGTGTCTCTGAAAGATGAGTAGGAAGGAGACAGTGAACATAGGAGAATTAATCCTAAGTCTTCTTGGTCAAACTTAACTTCTATAATCTCTATATCAAAGTCAGTTTCCTTGAATGTGGTCAGGTGCTCTTCAAGAGACGCAGTCTATACTAGCCTTGCTTGAATTGAAAGTCCCACTTCTTTTTCATCGCTTCATCCATCAACCTTTTTTTCCCTTCCCGGTAGTAAGCTCCTTGGAACTCTTGGCCAAGAAGGTGACTATTCTCCTCCAGAAGACAGTGACCTGTATGGGCACCATTTACGAGGTTTTATCGGGTCTGATTAATAGGTATATACCATGTGAACCAAGGGTTTACGTTTACACAAAGATTAGCACAACAAATCAAAGGTTTTAGGATTAGAATTAATTTTAAAATTAATTCCCTTCCCTTGAGCTTGACTTTTCTTCTTCCTTCTTGATGGAAAATAGGTATTTATGTAAAGTCACTAAAATGGTCCTGAGTTTTAGAGTCACTAAAAATACTTCCATTCGTTTCTATAAAATCCCCCTTTCTTCTCCCCCTTCCCATATGGATAGGATTAGAATTAATTTTAAAATTATTCAAAAAAAGTTACATTACAAATCCCTATATCTCAAGCTTTACACAACATCTCAACTGCACCATATAGCTCTTACTTTTAAAAATTGAACAATAATCAATCACGCTCCCATAATCAAATAATTTATGTGTGAGGTTTAGTTTTATCGGTAAAGAAGATGCCACTGTTGATACCTTGTGTTGTTCCTCTGGGTTGGTTGTCTTTGAATTTCTTTTTCTGGCTTCAATGGTGTGTCTGCTTGTTGTCTGTCTTGGTGGGTAATTGTTCAAGACTGTTTTTGAACGTAGTCTGGGGGCTGTCTTCTTGTTTTCTGGCAGGGTTGGAAAGTTCCTTTACGGTTTGTGGTGGCATGGAGTCTGTTGGGAGTATTTCCTAATTATTTTGCTGTGTGTGTTCTGGTGTGGCAAATGAGTACTCGATTGCCGATCTCTGTTTCGTTGTGAGGTCGTTTTTCGGCTGCAGGTTTACTGCTCCATCCGTCACCATGGGTTTTTGCTCTTGGAGATTGGTGGTTCTTGATTCCTTCGTGAGGAGATATCCTGTCGGGCGGGATCTCTGGTTGTTGTTGCTTCGATTTTGGTTCACTTTAAGCAATCTTGCCGAGCATTGTCCCTGGCTTTTTGGTTCGTTTTATGGCTATTATAGCGGCCATCCTGGTTTGCTGCTTGTTGCATTATGTAGCTAGAAGCAGGAGTTTTCATGTGCTAGTGGTATCCGTTTCAGTGAGATGTGTTGTTGGTGTTACTTTTTAGTATTATATCGGCTGCAACATTGGAAAGTTTTTTAACGAGGTCCGTTCCGATTGTCCGATTTTGTATGTTTCTATTTCTCTAAATGCATGAAACCACCTCTTTAAAAAAAATTATGACACCTTAGATTCAATTAAAATGAGAATCGAATTAAAGATGTTATCGGAGAATATAAATCAAAATTTTTAATCATACATTACTTATCAATCACATAATACAAATGTAAATTCATATCGATATCACGAAAAAAGATTAGATTATAAATTTGTAAAAAAGTAAAGTATATAAATGTAAATAATTAAAAAATAATGAAATTAATCTATAGAATTCAGTTAAGCCAAATTAGTTTATATTATATTTTTTAAATTTTAAATTTGAATTCTTTAAAGGTAGACGTGATCAACAACGTCTTCACTTCAATTATTAACTAAACAATCATATAGGCTAAAGGCGTTTTCATTGTAAAACACATTACAAAGAGCTTTTGACAAAGAATGCCCTTACTTTGCCAAACTAAAAGAATATTAATCCATTACTCAAAAAAATATTAATTCAGAAAATAATAAAAGAAAGTATTAAATAAAAATTAATTTTTTAATAGGTGATATTTTTGATAAAATGTCATATCTCAATCATATAGCAAAACTTTATGTAAATATCCGCACACTAAAAATTCCAGCCAAAATAACGGATAAGGAAACAAATAAGGGGAAAAGAAAGGGAAGCAACCCCTAATATGGGCTCGACAAGCACGTGACGTTGTTGTTGACAATAGAAAAAGTAGGTCTGAAAATTTTCACCACGCATCATGAGAAATTGAAATGAGTGAAAGTTAGAAAGGTCAAAGTAGCAAGTACCATATTCACATGCACGGTAAAAATAATATATTTTTAAATAAAATAGACTTTTTTTTATCTTTCGTCTTTTATTTAATTTCTAATTTAATTATTTATCTATTGTTAGATTTTTTTTAATTTATAGTAATTACAAGTGATAATATATGTTTTAAAGACTCCTGATCATTTAATGATTAACAGTCAAATATCATGTTAGATCTTTTATGGATAACAATTATTTAACGATAATATATACACACATTGTTAGGAATTTTGGAGTGAAAAAAAATCAAATCGATATCAACATAAAATAAGACATATAAAGGAGACGATATTTAACATAGTTCGACATTGTCTGCCTCAACAGGCGAGATGAATAACAATCCACTATAAATATAGAATATGAAGAGTACAAGTACATGATATAACATCTATCTCAAAATCTGGTATAGGCAATAAAACTTGTTATATCCCAAAATACTCTTCTAACCTATTACAAAAATGTTCCTATAATATAAACTCCAAATGTTGAAGAAATCTAAAAAAAAATTAAACATCTCCAAAATAATTAGAGCTCGCTTTACTCTAAATGATAAGATATAATCTTTATTTATAGAATCAAATATTTAATATATTTTTTATAAGAATTCTTGCCTAAAATAAATATTTATTTTATTAAATAAAATAAATTATTAATTAATCTTCAATCATTAGAATTATAATAAAATTTAACTTAATTATTTATTATTATAATTTAAATTAAAGTATAACATATATTATAAGAATAACTATTTAAATTTAAAATCTCAAAAAAAATATTTTTACTGCTAATATCATTTGATTGGTTGTTAATGATATTAAATACACTCAAGAATCCATTATTATCTTAGGCTGGAGAAAAGTAAAGTAGGAAGCACCTAAATGCAGAGCATGCAAAGGGGGTGGGTGGGGATTATTACTACTAGTCACATTTACACCACGTGGCCTTCCCGATGGACGACAGAACACAACCCTTATTCGCTGTACGGTTAACTTATCTCCATCTCCAATCCAATCCAATCCCCCATTTGCCATTTTAGTATTTACCCAAACTTTTAAACCAGCCAGCAAAACCAACCCTCCTCTTTCCCCTTCACTCTCACCACCCCCATCTCTCTTACAGGAAAAAAGGGGTACAAATATCTTGTCTTATCTCCTCCTACAGTCTCATCCAATCCATTAACTTCAATAACAGAAAAGCCCGATGGCAGCCACCACCATTAACGATGTCCCCGATGTTATTCTGTTGAACATCTTCGCTTCTATCTCCGACACCCGAACCCGCAACTCCATCTCCCTCGTCTGCCGTAAGTTCATGCTTTTGGACAGGGTCACGCGCCTCTCCCTCACGCTCCGCGGCAACGCCACCGACCTTTACATGATCCCCGATTGTTTCAGATCTGTCACGCACTTGGACCTCTCCTTTCTCTCCCCTTGGGGTCACTCCCTCCTCTCCTCTTCTCCGCTCGTTGATCCTCTGCTCCTGGCTCATCGCCTCCGCGTTGCGTTCCCCGCCGTTACCTCCTTGACGGTTTATGTTAGATCGCCGTCTACGATCGAGGTTTTGGTCCAACAATGGCCTGGGTTGAAGTGTGTGAAGCTGGTGAGGTGGCATCAGCGGCTCGCCTCCTGGCCAATCGGACAAGATTTCGTTTCTCTGTTCCAGCAGTGCCATAATCTGAATTGGCTTGACTTGTCCAGCTTTTATTACTGGACCGAAGATCTGCCCCCGGTTCTTCAAGATTGCCCCGAGGTATCGTCCTCGTTAGTCCACTTGAATTTGCTAACGACGTCCTTTGCTGAAGGGTTTAAGTCTCAGGAGATTAAAGAAATCACCGCCGCCTGTCCTAACTTGAAGAATTTTTTGGTGGCTTGTAACTTTGATCCTAGGTACATTGGGTTCGTCGGAGATGAGACCTTGTTGGCCGTGGCCACTAACTGTCCTAAACTGACGCTTTTGCATTTGGTTGATACATCGTCCTTGACTGATGTTCGAGGTGAGCCGGACAGCGAAGGATTTACTTCCGAGGATGCCGCGGTTACCAGTGCGACACTGGTGGAGTTCTTCTCGGGCTTGCCGATGCTTCAAGAGCTCGTGCTTGATGTTGGCAGGAACGTGAGGGATGCTTCGTTGGCGTTGGGAATGTTGAACTGTAAATGCAAGGATTTGAGAGTGCTGAAGCTGGGGCAGTTTCATGGGATATGTTTGGCGATTGAATCTCAGCTCGACGGGATTGCCTTGTGTTCGGGGCTGCGAGAGCTGTCTATTAAGAATTGCGGGGATTTGACGGATATGGGATTGATTGCGATCGGGAGAGGGTGTTGTAAGCTGTCTAGCTTTGAAGTTCAAGGATGTAAAGGGATTACTGAGAAGGGACTCAGGACAATGGCTTGCTTGCTAAGAAATACTTTGGTTAAAGTCAAGATTTCTTGTTGCAAGAATCTTGATGCTGCAGCTTCATCGAGAGCTGTGGAGCCAATCCGTGATCGGATTCAATGGCTGCATATTGATTGTGTCTGGAATGGATTGGATGAGACGGGGAATTCCGAGCACAGTTTTCAGCACCACGGATTGGAAATGGGAAGCAGCAGCGAGTTCGATGAAGACATGATGAGCAGGAAGAGATGCAAATACTACTATGACGAGAGTGATTTTGACTTTATGGGAAACAATGGATTTTGGTGCAAGAAATGGGAGAAGTTGCAATACCTATCGCTTTGGATCGGTGTTGGTGAGCTTCTCACTCCATTGCCAACAGCAGGTCTTGTGGACTGCCCTAGCCTGGAGGAGATTCGAATAAAGGTGGAAGGGGATTGCAGGGGACGCCACAAACCGGCTGAACGAGCATTCGGATTGAGCTCCCTTGCAATCTACCCTCGGCTTTCAAAGATGCAACTGGATTGTGGTGAAACCATAGGGTATGCTCTCACAGCACCGTCGGGCCAAATGGACCTAAGCTTGTGGGAAAGGTTTTACCTTAATGGCATCGGCGAGTTGAGGCTAAGTGAACTAGATTACTGGCCTCCGCAAGACAGGGATGTCAACCACAGGAGCCTCTCACTCCCTGCAGCTGGATTGCTGGCGGGGTGTCTTGACCTTAGGAAGTTGTTTATCCACGGGACGGCTCATGAACACTTCATGATGTTCCTCCTCAAAATCCCTAACCTCAGAGATGTGCAATTGAGAGAAGACTATTATCCGGCACCGGAGAATGACATGAGTACAGAAATGAGAGCAGGGTCGTGTAGTCGCTTTGAAGCTGCTCTCAATAGGCGGATCATCCTCGACTGAAATGAAGGATCCTACCCAGATTAGATCATATTTCTGCTTAGTAAGAACAAGAGTTTTCCCTCTCCCCCTTTCCCCCTTTCAATTTTAAGAAATTGTAAGAGGCTCAGACTTTTAAACACTGTTTTTTTACATGTTCTGCCGGTTCTGACCAACAATCTGTAGCCACCAAAACATTATAACAAACTAAAGTCTGCGTCGAAATGCGGTCCATACATTATTGTCTTGAAATTAACCAATGAAGAACCTGGGGACATCCTGGAAAAATGAATTAGATGACTGTATGGTAGACCTGAAATTAGCCTGCTTAGGGGACCTTCAGGAATTTCCAACCGTGATCCTTCACTTGCAATGGCATGAACTACCCGAGCCAATGTTGGAGTATAATCTTCAACAACTGAAAGATGAAAATCTAAAACAAATTGGTTTGAAAGAGATCAAATAACAGCATATTGCTTATATCTTTTCTGGTGGTACGCCGTCCCAGGGTCTATTTAGAGTAGATAGCTCTCACATTATCACCCCAATGCTAAAAAAGTCGCACTTCTCACTGAGGGGTTCGTTGTGTTCGAGCTCAGGAGCCATCCATTCGGGTGTTCCTGCAGTTGCAGAAACTTTCCTGGGTCGGCTGTTCATTTTTCTTTAGAGCCTCACTTATCTTCACAGTCCAGTGCTTGTTCACAAGGCAATCAGCACTTTTTAGGTCACAAACTATTTTCATCCGGTCTATACACATTAACCACCTGTATAAACAAGAGATGAATATAGTCAGTGTCACACCATTACATAGAAAAAGTCAGTCATGCAGTGCATGTATCCAGGACGCAATAAGCTTCTGCCCAAAAAATTGAAAATTAAATATGAAAATATTGGTCATAAACCCTGAACACAATGCAGATAGCCGGATAGAGTTTCCATTTTGGGGGGGGGGGGGGAAGTGATTTTTCACTGCTACATTCAAAATCCCAGACAATAATCTATACCAGAAGCCAATAAGCTTGTCCAATACACACAAAGACTGGAAGAGTGAGTTCCACATAAAAACCAGGGAACCACTTGCAGATTCAAACAGAAATATAGCGTTTTCACATGCAAAATCATTTAGATGATCGATCAATAAGCAGTCGAAATCAAAAAGAACAATCAATTGGATGAGGAAGAAAATTTTTAGAACATTTACTCGTTCCAATTTTTAGAAAGTAATCAGGAGTTATCTCAAATGATTAAAATCTAATAAACAAAAAAGAAACATGAAATTGGATGAGGAAGAAAATCAAATGTAGATCAAAGTAGAAGATCTATGTATTGGAAAGTATATAAAATGGTTGAAACAAATCAAAATCAACAACGCTTCCTAAAAAAACAAAATGAAGTATTACACTAATCCGATAGCATTTGATCCTCAATTCCTCCTCTCGTGAATTAGCCCACAAACACGGCAGCCAGAGAGAGAAATCGGTGATTCCTGATCATTTAATTTCTTCTATCAGATCATTTAAATACAAGGTACTATTTGTTTAAAATTAATTATTAATCATTTGATATCGAAAGGTAGCATGAATCTTGCAACATTTAATTATTTAAATAGTAATTAACAAAATTATTACTATTACTATATATTTAATCCTTATTATTTATACATTCTATCAATTTGGTTATAATTTTAAATTGAATTTAGTAATCAGTGAACAATCAATTGATTGGCAGATAGATTTCGTAAACGTTGGTTGTCATCTGGGTCGAATCCCAAATCAAACGTGGAATCAAGTTTTCAATTGTATGGCAAACATTCTTAAGTAAAGTGTTGATTGCATGAAATAAACAGGGATTATTAAGAGGACAAATTTAGTTAAGGTGATATGACCGGTCATCGAGAGGAAACAAACAACCCAGCCATTAAGACAAAGTTTCATTTTATGAATAATGAAATCATAGTCCGGACTCGGGACAAAACCTTGGAACTGGATGATAATAAAAAAAATTATAGTCCGAACAACAATTTTTTTTGTGTAAAATGTGAACTCTCAAATACTTTAATAGGAGTCGACCCAGATTAGTCGGGACGAAGCCTTGAAACTGGAGGACAAAAAAATACTTTAGCTCATCATTAGTATTAGGGCAAAAATAAATTTGTAATTTCCATTTACTTATTCGATGTCCAGAAAATAAATTTTGTTTATAATTAAGAGGTTACCGATATAATTTACCCATAAAAACATTTAAAATTTAAAAGGTAAAATACGCAATGAACCCGATTATTAAAAGTTATAAAACGATAATTTGATTATAGTGCACTGATATATTGAGTCCTTAGAATATTAAAAGCTATAAAATTGTCATATGAGTATTTATATATTATGAATTCATCATTTTTAGTTGAAAAATTGACGATCGTCTAAGTTAGACGTTAACAAGTTGACTGAGATATGATAATATACGATCCTAGAATTGTTTGAGTTATATTTTGTGTATCAAATCTTCATTTACATTATGTTGTCGACGAGCCAATGTTTAAAAACAACGACGATGTTAGTAGACATCTTTAAAACATGATTTTATCATATCTCAATTAGCATATTAATATTTTGCTCAACGATCATCTAGAATTTAATAGAAAATGACGAGTTTTGAATATATGAATAGTCAAGTGGTCATTTTATAATTTTTAATAGTGGAAGGACTCAATAAAATAATGCTCTATAATTAGGGATCATTTTATAACTTTTAATATTGATATACTGAACAAAACAACATCCTATAGTTGATAGACTATATGTATACTTAACCCAAAGTTAAATAATAAAAAAAGGCAGCATTTTTAGCTTGTCGAAGAGTGGGGGAAAATAATTTTTTTGGGTTAACTACATGGATGATTATTTATGTTTGTGTTTTATCATTTTTGTCACTGATTTCAAAATACGTAAGATATGGTCATTTTCGTTCTTATTTAATTAAGATGTGGTCACCACGAGTTAATTGACATTAAATATTTTGATATAATCACACAGTTGGTCCCTCTTATTTACATATTCTTTCAATATAGTCATACTTTTAATAAATTAAAATAAATTTAATCCTTCAATGGAATGATGCCACTGTCATCGATATCATGTGTCACCATTTGGTTGGAAGATTAATTTTATTTTATTTTATTTTAACAAAGTAAAGCAAATTGGTGGAAAATAAATATATTAAATTAAAATAAATTAAAATAAAGTTAGTTCCAACCAAATGGTGACACGTGACACGACACATGACACCAATGACACATGACATCGTTCGATTGGAGGATTAAATTTATTTTAATTTATTAAAAGTATGACTAAATTGAGAGAATGTGTAAATAATAAAGACCAAATATATGATTATACCAAAATATCACGACACTTAATCTGTTAACTGTTAGCTACAGTTAACCCTTAGTGACCACATCTTAAATAACTAAAAACAAAAGTGATCACATCTTAATTAAATAAAAACGAAAGTGACATGTCTTATATATTTTTGAAATTAATGACTAAAAGTGAACAAAACACAAATAAAAATGATCATCCACGTAGTTAACCCTTTTTTTAACGAAAGGGTAAAAGATTTAAAATGAATATTATTAAGGCGTTCTATAATGATTGTTAGAGACCGAACCAAATCCCTGACTCGATAGTGTCTGGAAAGAAGCAGGCAGCAGCAGTAGCAGATTCAAGCCCGACTTATGAAGTGGCTTTATTGTTCTCACTCTCACCTGCCACCGCCTCCGCCTCCGCCAGCAGTCTTCTCCTTCTCTTCCCTTCAGCATAATGCTTCTTCTCAACCCAAAGGTACGTAGATTTCTTCCACAGCCAAACTTTCTGCAATGGATAGACTTCTCTGAATCTCTACTTGTTTCCAATTAAATTAAAGCTACAATGCATTCATCTTCTTGAGAGGCAGGTTTTGTATTCTTCAGTTATTTCTTGTTCGCTGATGTTTCTGTTTTGTTCCTGGTTTCGCTTTTATCCGTTTTTCTTTGTTCTTCGACTATTTGTGAAGCTATCAGGTTTTCCCATGCTTTAATAAAATATTATTCTTTCTAGGTTTGGATTAGTCGAGCTGTTTGGATTGACTTACGGGGGACTGAATAACGTTTTATCCCAAGCCATAATTTTTCATCAATAATATCATTTTCATTCTGAATCAGCCATTGTAGGACAATGACACGAAAAGGAAACCAAAATGGACCAATTTAATTATGAAAAACAAACATTTCAGGGTATCCCCATATGACCTTTCTTTGCCTCCTAGTCCCTTAAAATTTGCTCGAAGCAATGTTTGTTTATGCCAGTATATTTAAGCTTATTGAGTGTTTATTAAAAAGAGCTTATTTAATGTTGGAAAAGCTGTATGAAAGTGTTTCTGATCCTCTTCAGTGATTTCCCATTTCTCCTACTGGATTGCCATCTCATTGTTTATGCTCTTCCTTAACCCTTGAAAATTGACACATAGAACTTGTACCAAGTCAGTTGATTAAATTCCTGATTCTTAGTTTATTTGGTTTGGCTTTTATAGGTATTGCAAAGGTTATTCTAAAGAAGGGAAAGACACAACTTTTTAAGGATGGAAGCCCGATGGTTTATAGTGGAGCAGTTGATAGAATAATTGGTAGACCACCACCCAAGACCGGAGATATTGTGCTGGTAGCAGATGGGACAGAGAAACCTATTGGATGGGGCTTGTATAATTCAGTTTCCATGTTCCGCGTTCGACTCATGCAGCTAGAAGAGGAAGCAACAAGGTAGTTATTCAAAGAAGGGCAAGGTTTTGCAGTTAGGTTTTACTTACTCCATAGGGCGGTTAACTTAAATTATTTCATATAGAGATCCTTCTTGTGCATTGGACATGGAGAAGCTTCTTGAAACAAGAATCAATGCAGCTATAGAGTTACGCCGTGGAGTAGGACTTCCTTCAACCACTACAAATGCATATTGTCTTATCAATAGTGAAGGAGACAGGTAACTTTGGGTTATATGTGTTGGTTCAAGATTATAGGGGAATTATAATTCATAAAATGTTGTTGGTGAATGGTGACAAACATATGCATGCACAATAGATGCACAGATAAAATTTCTTTTGTCCAACTTAACCGAATAATGTCAGTTCG